CCCCCCCCCCCTGGGTCCGCCCTTGTGTGAGAGCGACATGGACTGTAGCACTTCTACTCTTTATATGTCTCTAATAGCTAGAGAACTAATTAATTAATCCAGTCAGTATTTACTTTTAGCTGGCACACTATGGCATTTAGTGTTAAAGGCGACTCGGTGACTTTAATTTACGATTGTTACACAACTATAACGAAAGTTCTAGCAAGAGATTCGTCTTCGACTTTGAATAATAAAGGCCTGATCAATGTTGGCTATCAGTTATTGGCAGATGGACACTATGAGGTATCTTTTACCTTTCATAAATATTTTAGCAATGAATTAAGTCTGTAGCTTTCACATATTACAATTTTTTATAATGTATATTTTTTAAATTTCAATTCAAGTTATTTTAACAAATGTTTATCTTTTTAAACATATCAGGAAAGTATACAGAGTTGCTCATTAATGCGTCAAAGCGCCATATCTCAGTAAATATGAATAAAAAAAAAATGTTTTCTAAACTTTGCTGTCCATCAGGAAACCCAGCAGGTGTCAAAATCCAGTAAAAAAGAGGGGGTATTTCCCTTTAAAAACTATAGCTATTAACGTCTATGACTACTATGACACACACCGTATGTTGAAAAATTACTTTTAATTGTACCTACAACACATATTTTCGTACGATAAATTTTCTTGCAAAATTCATATTTTATTAGATCGCATTTGGCGCACTAATATGAGCGAGCTTGTATATCTCACATATCAGTTTAAGCAGATAAATCGTGCTAAAATGTATTGACATATTTTAGGGTGATATTTCTCTACTACAAATTGCAGACCGTCCGGATGAAGCTTACGACTTTTGCAAAAAAGCTGCAGCTTGTTTGAAACAGTACAGATTTGTAAATAGCAGCAAATCCAAGATCGGTAAAGTAACTGTTTGCACTATTTATTATTGAAATTGTGTTATTGCTAAAATAGTAAACCCAAACTGACATGGAATATGGTTGATGTATTGGTTGAAGAAAACATGTTTCTAAGTTTTGCGCAGAGTGCCTTTCTAGCGTCTTGCTGCTGTCCACCACGCTGAATAGTCGACTATTTACTTTCTCTCAATAAAAAAATCGATTTTATTGAATTTCTCTTAAAAATGTTGAATGTTGTTGTTGCTGAGTAAAGGGCAACTAAAATAGATGCGTATGAATAGTTTTAACATTCACTCGCCATGGCTTTTGTTAGGACATTCCTAATTATTCATATAATTTTTTGCTGTTAAGGCCAATAGTTTAGGTTATGCTATATTAACATTATTTTGAATTGAATTGCTCTAAATTAGTCATACTGTTGTCGATGCGTTAAGCCGTTTATAATCGTATTTTGCAGATAGTTTTTTTAAATTTTTGTGTGTAGTCAGTAGGTTGGTATCGAATAAGTGATGCAATTATTGGTTTTCCAAATTCAGCTGAAGAAAGTTTCAATGCGGAAGTGAGTATGTTTTCATCGGACCATAAAGACGGATTCAGCAATGGAGCACCGATTGTATTTTCTAACGGTGAATCCAAGTTGGGCACTGAACACCTTTCGGAAAACTTCGACAATTTGATTGGACCCAACTTAAATCAATCAGAATCAGCACAGTTGAATGGTCTAGAAATGACAACTATAGTTGTTGAGAATATAACGGTAAGATGACCTGTCAGGTATCTATAACAAATAGACACCTGACAACCCAAAAATTACTATACGCCCACTTGTCACAGTTGGATTTGGAATGAATTGTAATTATTGAACGGCTTCGGAAGTAAGATTACTCAAAATTAATTATTATGAGACCTTCTCAATGAAGTCGTCTATAAATATACAGAATATTTAACTATATGTGTGTTTACATTATTATGTTTAACTTAAAGTTTCATTAACAAACTTCAACCGTATTAAAATACTCGATATTATATCTGCGAACAGAAGCAGAGTTTGTGGGTTGATTTAAGGAATTATAGACCCCAATATTATTTCAAGATGTTGTCTTTAGATGATCAATTGAGAGAGAGTTATTTCAGGTGAAACACGCTGTTGCTAAATAGCAGTTTTCGATTCAGGGGCGGAATGTTCCTTTGCGAACGACGAGGACGTTGTCAGGAAATCGAAAAACGGATTTTTGCCCTCGTATCGAACATAATTTTTTACCATAATAATATTAATTTAATATTTTAACTTTTGTCCCAATGGCGTTTTTCACATTATGGCATTGCAATGTCTCACTGTGAGCAAAAGTAAAACGAATGACCATCGTCCGGGCACAAAGTAAAAGTACCTCTTTATGATTGTAGCTTCTGTGCGAAAATGGGTAGTTATTGATTGATTAAAATTAACTTCAATAAAAAGATTGTTTCAAAACCATTAATTAATTCATATGAATAATGTCGATTACTTAACTTAATGTTTTCTTATACATGTAGCATTCTCATGGCGAGACTTATATGACGACTACTGCCTCAACTGCAGAGCAAAATTACTACAATCCCCACTCACCTAGGGGTTATCCGGGGCCTCCGGGACTTCCGGGACCTCCAGGCCCAAAAGGCGATCCAGGACGAAAGGGACTGGACGGGACTAGCGGAATTTCTGGCCCTCCTGGACACGTGTTTATGATCCCCGTAAGTGGTTTCGTGATTCTCAAGTGATTGCTTCAATAAAAAATATTATTATCCCGATTTTATGTGACGCATAAGATGTAAAAATGCACTTTAAATTGAGGATTTAACTCGATATGTGACCAGTGGAGCTGATCTTAGATTGTTTTACATACATACTGGGTAAAAAGTATATTTCCGGGGTTGGTGTCTATAGATATCACACTTTCCGGCACTGTCGAATGAGCTTTCAGAGATTTCTATGGCTCTTTGGAATTAATGCCCCGTAAAGGTTGACTGCTGATGTAGGATAGGCAGGTTATTGTACAGGGTGTCCCATTTTCGACACTTTTGCGTCCGTAATGGTTAGTGATATAAAAAAAAATGGTGTGCGTCACGGGACGCTCGACAGAAGTGATAACTTCATAAATTAATAGAAACCATAAAATATTGAACTTGCTTAACGCATGTTGGCAATAATTATTTTATTTTATAATTTTAATATTCTTGTTAGTCTAATAATTTCTAAATTGATCAGGAATAGGTAAAATTTAATTTAATTTCCTTTTGAATGTAAAATATCTTTTTTATTTGCAACATTTAACATTCTTTAACGAGATGTTGTACATATTGCTCCTCTTGGGTTTGTGTAAACTCTTCTTCTTGAGTTTCTGTATTTTTTGTCGCAATTTCTTATTAGCTTTTATAATCTTTGACGTTCAGCACTAGTTCGTGGTTGATGAAAGCCACTTTGAGTTGATCTATTACTTAATGCTCTTTTTTTAACACGAAATCGTTTTTGGCATTCAGCATTACTTAATACTGTTCGCATTGTAGCATGTTTTTGTGACTGCTCTTGTGTATGTTGTTCATGAACGTCTGCTACAACCTGTGTCTGAATAGGACTAAAAAATCAATTAATTTTGGTGATTGGAATCTGCTTAAAATAGACGGTAAAACGAGGAAGAGCTATAGAGACAGGATACACTTGACACACTATATGTATACATAACGTAAGCAATCGCGCGTATGTTCAAAAAAAAATTCTAACTGAACTAATCCAAGACTAAAAAAATTAAACTAAATTGAGAAGAGTTAATCATAAGGGAATCAAAGGGTATATGAAGGGAAAAAGTCCATTTTAAAGCGTGGTAAACACAATTAATCATAGAAATAATATAGAGAATTGAAAATAAGAGTTACTAATAAATTCGTTTTACATATTTTGCAACTATAAGCTGAAGAGAGATTGGTATCGTCTTACGAGGTAAACTCATATTTTTTCTATTAAATTCAAAACATATTTATTATATATTATTACAAAGCAGTAATGATGTTTATTATTTTATGTTAATTATGAAAGATTACAAAATAGATATCTAAATATTGATAGTTTGTTGTTACAAAATAAAATAACAAATATTAGAACAAGTGAGAACAAAATTTAGAACATATTATCTCAATTTTCATTGGTCAATTAACGGTAAATATTTCAAAATAAAAAGAAACATTTCTTAAATATTAGTTAAATGTTATTTAGAAAATATTTGTTTCTAATATTTAATTAGCATGAAACAAATA